TTTGGGAAAAATGGGTTATATGCTGAAGTTGATTTGGCTTTGGCCTGTGATCTCCTATAGCTAATTCATTCAATGCACAATCATTGTTCAACTCTCTATTGGCAGTGATATTTTCCTGCATCGTGACAAAACTTTAATGCCCCAAAACCCAGCAGCATGGAGTGCATGGAATTTTCTCGGAAGTAATGGCAACAAAGTATGCTTGACATACTGGCTCAATGTGCTTCAGGTAAATAATGTGTTCAACTTATGAGAAATAAAGTTCATATCAGTTCTCAACATCAAATGAAACAATAAAAATATGGACTTTGATCCAATAGGTTTGATGTTTAGCCTCATTTTGTTAGGAGAAGTAGAAAGTTGAAGAACTCCTAGAATTTTTTCCCTTCCCTGTTAAATGATTTAACCATTCCCTGGAATTTCTGAATGTGCAGAACATTGATGAAAAAGGTCTACCATTTCTTGTGACTCTCAACCCAGATCTTACACCAGAACATACCTTGCTTAAGTGGTCAACAAGCCATCCAGTCCCATCTGTTGCTGCATCGAAAGCTTCACTTGAGCTTCATCGCATTCAAGGAAAGAGAGGAATTTGGTTTTGTGGAGCATACCAGGGTGAGGTTTATTCTCTGGTGGCCAGAATTATGTTTTGCTCTATCTTGCATTAAAGAGATGATTACGACATTTTCATCGCTCAGAGCTGATCTTTTGGTGTGTTGTAAAATCCGCTGAGTGTAAGTTATATTTTTCTTTTTCAGGTTATGGCTTCCATGAGGATGGACTAAAGGTATGACATGATGGAATAAGTTTTTAAAGATCATTTTGTTGTATAACCAATTCAAATATGTTATATGGTAAGATATGAAAGAATGATTGACATCCTAGGTAATTTTATTCATTTTCGGCTGAGCGATACAATGCTGACTATATAAAAGCCCCAGCCATTTGGAAGAAGGGCTACCAAACCTATGTTTTCTCCAAGGTCTCTTCAAGATTATATCAAATTAGTGGAATTCAGCTTAACAGTGAAGTGTTCTACTTTGCAGGCTGGAATGGCTGCAGCACACGATATGCTTGGAAAAGGATGTGCCCTCTTGAGCAACCCAAAACACATGGTTCCGTCACTGACAGAAACAGGGGCACGCCTTTTTGTTACTAGGTTTCTTAGAAATTATATTTCTACTGGATGTTTAATGTGAGTAATACTAAAAGGCTAATATTCTAGACTTTCTTCACTATAAAGCTCAAGCTAAATCATATAAATCACAAGCTTGTAGTTAGTGATCTGCATTCCATGTGTCAATTATCTCATTCTACTCTTCTTGTCATAAGAATGAGATTCATATGCATCCCCACTACATACTCCTTTAATTTTCTTTCATTATGTGGAATAAGTTTTATCTTTTATGGAGATTATTAATATATTGTGCCTTCTCCTCCTATAGTTTATTAGAGGAAGGAGGTACAATTTTCAACTTTGAGGGAACCAGAAAAGGATGTTCTCTAAAATGTGTTCTTAGAGTTCATACTCCTCAGTTTTACTGGAAGGTATGCATTCTTAGTTTGATTTTTACACTTATTTTTAATGGGAATTATAAACTGCATGGTATTGAAATTAAAAGGAAAACTTCTTAATCACTTCCACTCATAAGTAGTAGAATGCATTTGTCAGGTAATGACACAGGCTGATTTAGGCCTCGCAGATGCATATATCAACGGGGATTTTTCTTTCATTGATAAAGACAAAGGCCTTCTAAATCTTTTTATGGTAAGATAATTGATCAGTGTCCAGTGCAAAATCATTTGGTTACTTTGCCAATTCACATAAGTTATCGTCTTGCTGATTCATTTTCCAGATTCTCATTGCCAACAGAGATTCAAATTCTTCTGACTCAAAATTGAACAAGAAAAGGTTTGATGAGACTTGGTTACCAGCTTAAACTTGAATTATGATATAGCTAGTAGTCATCAGAATCTCAGTGAGCTCAGGACTCACCTTTGTTTGCTATAGGGGATGGTGGACGCCATTGTTATTCACAGCTAGTATAGCCTCAGCAAAGTACTTCTTTCAGCATGTTTCAAGGCAAAATACTCTCACACAGGCGCGCAGGAACATCTCTCGTCATTATGACCTGGTATACAATTTATGACCTGGATTTAGTTTTCACAGAGATTTAGTTTGTTTTCATTTAAGGTACTGAATTCAATTAAAATCAGGCATGCACAAGCTGATTATTACCTTTTTGTGTGTTGCAGAGTAATGATCTATTTTCGCTGTTCTTGGATGAAACAATGACATATTCCAGTGCTGTATTTAAGGTCAGAATCATCAGTTTCCATCCAGTTTACAGTAAACCTAGCATGAAAAAAGGTGTATTGTAGTTTAATTTATATATATATTTTTTTCTGTATTGAATTATTTTATAGACTGAAGATGAAGATTTAAAGACTGCACAGCTAAGGAAAATCTCTCTTCTCATTGAAAAGGTGAGTCTTTTATGTAAGAATTGTGAGCTTTCGATATCCTTTTCTGTGCGCTATTCCAATCTGTTTTTCCTTTGAATTAATCTAGGCTAGAATTGAGAAGAACCATGAAGTTCTAGAGATCGGATGCGGTTGGGGGAGCTTAGCAATTGAAGTTGTCAAACAAACTGGTTGTAAATACACTGGCATCACTCTGTCTGAGGAACAACTCAAATATGCACAAAAGAAAGTGAAACATGCTGGCCTTCAGGTATCAAATTTTGTAAATTCCATGCTTATATATAAGCACATGCACATGCTGCTAGATGCATGTCAATGCTTGAGGCGTACTTAGAAAAGCCTTTCATGCATAATTTCAACTAAATTTCTTCCAGGACCGCATCAGATTTCTTCTGTGCGACTATAGGCAACTTTCTAACTATAAATACGACAGAATTATATCTTGGTGAGTACTGATCCAAACAAATTTAATTTATTAATAATATTCCTCGAAAATATCTTGACCTGCGGTGGATTTTTCAGCGAGATGCTCGAAAGTGTGGGGCATGAATATATGGACGAATTCTTTGCTTGCTGTGAATCTGTGCTAGCAGATAATGGCCTTCTTGTTTTACAGGTAACATCCCATATAATGCTGTCCCAAGGTAGAACTATAACTAGTTAAATATAGTTGTTCGACTATTTTGACTAAAAACATCAACTCCTATAAACGGTAGCATCCAACATGTTGCTAATAGTTAAGGGCTGTTGATCTTGCTTCAGTTCATATCAATACCGGATGAACGTTACGATGAGTACAGACGAAGTTCAGACTTCATAAAGGAATATATTTTTCCTGGTGGATGTCTACCTTCATTAAGTAGGGTAACATCAGCAATGGCTGCTTCTTCCAGACTCTGGTATGATCTGTTATCATGACAACAATTTCATGGTTAGGTTTAACTTGCTTGTACATATTTTTATTCGACTTTCGGGAATTCCATTACTGCAGTGTGGAGCACTTGGAAAACATTGGAATCCATTACCACCAGACACTGAGATGTTGGAGAAAAAATTTCTTGGAGAGACATAGGTAAGAAGAAAATCATGTAAACTGCAATAATCCTCCCCAAAGAAACATAAACTTATCATTGCTGCTTGTTGCTCTCTGTGCTTTTCTTTTGCTGCAAAATGCATTTACTGAATTTATTCTCTAATAAAAATTGTTTTTAGACATACATGTATATATGTACATATGTAACTGAAGTTTGGGATTTTAACGTTGGCACAATGGCTTGGATGTTTGTAGTGAAATACTGGCTCTTGGGTTCAATGAGAATTTCATCCGGACATGGGAATATTATTTTGATTACTCTGCTGCTGGTTTTAAGACATATACGCTTGGAAATTACCAGGTACACATTACATATATGTTCCTGCAATTTTCAGATATTTTAAGCTCTTTGGATCCACAACTAAAGAGTTGCAAACTGTTCGTCTGTGATGTAGATTGTGTTTTCGCGTCCCGGCAACACTCCGTCCTTCACCGATCCATACAAAGGCTTCCCTTCAGCTTCACCATACTGATTGTTCTGTCATATGATCAGGCTTCACAATTCAGCATACAAAGTATTGCTGGGTTTCTGTTTTTTTTTCTTTCTTCTTTTATTGTTAGCAGTTATTTTATTATCTGTGTTCTGGATCGAACAAGCTTCCGGGAAAAACTGCCTGTTTTCTTCATCTGCTTTTTTTATAAAAAAAAAACCATAAGACACAAAAGTAATATATATTTTTTATCATTTAGCTTTCTGTTGATGCTGAACAACAAAATGTTGCCATGAGGTTTAGACCTCGCAACAAAGCCTACTTGACAGGAGTAAGTAGAGCCTAGCTGCCCACTCCACTGAGGCAGATCATAAAATGTAACATAACACAAGGTTGGTTTATTCTCTTTCTTTCCTTGCCACAAATCGTAGCTGGCATAGAACTATACAGAACAAAATGCCCACATCTAGCACAATCAGTGACCGTCTAACATCGGCCATTGAAATTTAGACATACCAAGTTTTGCAGAATGCACAGACCATGTTTTAAACATACCGGGTTTTTCATACCAGGGTAACCCATTTTACACCATTTCATCTCTAATATGCTTTACATAATCCATATTGCGGGAGCGAGGGCAGAACATGCCAATAAGTTATAGCCAAGGAAGGCTCAAAACAACAAGGCATGTATGTATGCTTAAGTTGCTAAGCAAATGCATCACTATAGTCATTTCAAAACAGATCATCGTCTAGTGGGTGCAACATCTAAGGATTCTAAAACACCGAACAAAACGTTCAATACAGAATCAGATAAGAAAGCCCTCACACCCTCAGTCTTTTTGCCTTTTCTATTTGACGGATTCCTGTAGTTCAGTCAAAACACAAAACTCCCCCACAAAGAATTGAGATAACACGGTAAGAACACATGGAAGGAGACAAGAAATAGGGTAGGCTACTCTATACTATAACAGGGCAGGAGAAAACAGAGTCTGCACTATTACAACAGTCAATATTCTTATTGAAATAATGCATCATAAATCTAGCCTGTGTTCTCAAATTTGGAAAAATAAATGAATAAAAATGCAATGGGTCTTCTACTTCATTCTAAAGTTCTAGAAAAACTATTTTAACAGAAGCACCTCCTTTCTGCTTCTCTAAATTCCGGAACCATCTGCTCCTATGAATCAAAACACGGCCTTACACAATCAAATTTTAAAGCGAATCTGGCTAAGCTGCTCAAGTCAACATACCGTACGCTGTTCACCTCACAATCTGTCATGCAACCAAAACCAGGGTGAAGTTTACGATATTATGAGCTTGAGGACTCTGCGAAATTTGACAGTGTTGGCAATGGCATGGCCTGGCTGGAGAATGCCTCATTAATTTCAAGTGAACAAACTTCCAAATATTTCATTCCATGCTGAACACACCCCCAATGAACATGCCCCACCATGAAGCTCGTTTCAGCCATGATGGACACTTCACTTTACAACTTGTGCACCTCTCCTCCTGTACAACACAAGGGCAAATACAGGGGGAAAATGATTATGCCATCGTCAAAGTGTCAACTACCACTATGATTATCGCTACCCATAACGAAGTGACCAGCCCATAGCTCCATTGCTATCAGAAAAATATCCTCACTACATCTTTGTACTCCTACTTGTCATAACAAATCAAGCATAAGCACCTAATGGCTAAACTTTCTACAGCATCTAATCCTCAGCCAAATTAAATTAAATTAAAATAAAGCACTAATAAGATGTCAAACAACAGAATACTCAAATGCAATAAAACCAAAATAGGTAAGGTTATATAAGCTACTTTAGCTTTAACACTACGACCAAAAACGTAAATGCCACTAGCAGCAAGTAGACAATTATAAGCACGCCAAATTTAACACCACTCAAAAGCAAAAACTAAATACGAGGAGCATCTAGTGCGAACTAAAATACTACTTATTATAGACTACCAAAAGAGTAACTGCAAACTACTAGAATTTAAGCAATCCAACCAGTCCCAAAGCATTGCCATCCAACTTGAGCTGTTCCTGCTACTGCCGCTGGTGATGAGAAACCATTACGAGCTCATGCATAAAGAGTTACAGATCCATAAAACAGGATGAAATTTCCATTGAAACAGTTGACCATCAAAATTACTGCTGTTGGGATTGTCGTGCCTGAGCACTGCCATACCCACCACCATAACCAACTTGTCCACCATTTGCCTGACCACCATAGTTTCCTGAAGCCTGGGATGGATCAGATCTCCAACCAGCATTTCCATAACCTGTATTTCCATTTGAATCGCCATAGCCACTCCCAACATAGCCACCACCACTACCTTGCTCCCCACCTGCGCCACCAACATTGTTATTTGGGACACTCCCTGAACGCCCTCCAACAGCACCATAACCAGACGGATTTGCATAGGACGCATCACTTCCACTGTACCCACCATAACCATAACCTTGAGCTCCATACCCAGCCGCTGCACTAGGTGATTGACCAGCAGGTGCAGAACCAGGGCCGCCACTGCCTGCACCTGCACTGCCACCTGAAACACCCCAAGGAGCAGTATTCCCGTATCCCATAGCACCATATCCAGAGGGGGCTTGAGAACTCCATGAACTTCTAGGGGCACCTGGTGGACCACTAGCATAGCCAGCATTTGGGGCATTAGGGTTTCCGTAGGCAGCAGCTGCTGGACCTCCATAGCCAGTATTAGTGCCACCGTAACTTCCATAACCGCCATAACCAATTCCATTACTGGTAGGACCATACCCATAACTGGGTGCACTATACCCAGAAGAACCATAAGGTGGAAATCCACCTCCAGTACTCTGAGATTGCATGTACCTGTTGGAGTCCATTCTACCATCATATGCATTTGGGTTGCCACCAGATGCGCCATATCCTTGATAACCACCACCAGCTGCACCACCGCCACCTTGACCACCCCCCATGCTACGGCCACCCCCACCGGGATTGGCATCTTTGGGAAGAGCCCTCTTAACTTCCACTTGCTTACCATTTAAATCATGAAATGTTTTGTGCAAAACCCTGTCAACTGCTTCTTCAGTATCAAATGAAATAAATCCAAATCCACGAGGACGTCCGGTACTTTGGTCATACATTACTACTACATCAGTTACATTGCCATAAGTTTCAAAATACTCACGGAATCCTTCTTCGCTAAGAGTGGGAGGCAACCCTCCAACAAATATCTTCTTGGTCCTAATATTTCCACCATTTCCGGCACTTCTAGTAGGGTTAGCATTTCCAACTCTGCCAGTGGTTTGCTGCTCCTCTCTCGATAGGGCCCTCTTAGCCTCAACCTGAAATATAATACCAATGGTTATGCAACAGAAGTAAAGATAACCTATAGTGTCCTCACCCTTCTCATTTTTTCCATCTTCCTAATTTTTATGCAATTACAGCAGCCCAAAATCATCTTCTCTCTAAAATTCTTCTGATCAGTAAAATCTCTGCCATCCATAACCTACTATAACCATAGACAGCACCCACCCATTATACACGAATCCTCTCCCGGGGATCACTCTCACCCACTGAAAAGTGGTAAGAGAGACCACATACAATCAATAAAATGTCCCCGGAGGTGGAAGTCAAGCTAAAATTATTAGCAGTGTCATAATTCTGGGATGTAAAACAATTGACATGCAAACCAATATAAATCTTAAACCCTAAACCCAGTCACATACGTAGCAATGAATTATTTCATAGCAATGTACCCCCAGACGCATTTGCTCACAAGAATAACTCTATTACACACTAACAGACCAATAAATGTGCAACGATACAATCTATTATGCCAACAGATTAGATCATGACATTTGTGAAATTGCCTTTAAGAATGTAAAAGGGGGTGGGGGTGTAAACAAATTATTCAAAACTCTTAATAATTAACTATAACATTTATAACATACAGCGACAAAATATTTGAACCAAAATTAATCAATGACTTCGAATTCTAAAGTTCTTAAAGGGAAAAACCAAGGAAATATCATGTTCTATTCCACCCCCGCACCCCACGGCTATATCAATTGAATCAAGTTCCACCTTCCAAACTTAACAGCAACTCGCAAACCAGAAAAAATGCAAGTACATGCTTTCATATCTAATGGAATCAATCTCAACATAAGAACTCAAAAAAGTTATACTTTAATATCTAACGGAATCAAGCTCAACATATGAACCCGACAAAGATATATACAACCATAATTATTACAAAAGCAAAAGGAAACTAAAAATACAAATCTAAAATTAATTGTTTAAAATAAAATAAAATAAACAACAAAAAACTGAAACACGCACATAGAAACAGAAAACAATTAGCTTTAGACCTAATTAGCACTTAAATAAGCTCAGAAAACGAGCCAAGAAATTGGAATCTGAATCTCACCGTTCTACCATCGATGGTGTGCTTATCCTGAAGAACCCTATCAAGAACAGCAGGATCTACAAAAACTACAAACCCAAAACCTCTAGGGCGTCCCGTGACTTTGTCCCTCATAACCACTGTTTGCAAAACGTCGCCGTAGTTGCTGAAGTACTCCTTCAGCTTATCCTCCGAGGTTTCCCATGAAATCCCACCAATAAAAAGCTTGCCTTGATCCGAATCCATGTGGGTTTTCACTTCCTCTCCCTCTCACTGCCTACGTGAGTGAAAGATTCGATCTTTGTTTATTTTGGAGGGGTTTTTTGGATTTTGGGGGTTTGGGATTTGGAGAGGAAGGGAAGAGGAAGGGTTTGTGGCCGACTAGAGAGAGAGAGAGAGAGAGAGAGAGCGCGCGTGGGAAAGTGAAGTATGTATGGTAGGCTTTGAGACTGAGGGGGGGGGGGGGGGGGGGTGGGGGTGGGGATGGGGATTGGGACTTGGGGGATTGGGAAGCAGGCGTTTGGACGGATGAGATTTGCTGGATTGGTTGGTCGGGAATCATTTTGATGCGGGTGGTAAATGTTGTACGGCTGAGATTTGATGTAAGTCGTCATCCGTCAGTGAGGTCCAAGTCCTTAACCTCCCCTTGTCTTAGCTTTGGTTCTTTGTCACGTGATGTGCACACTAGATTACATATGATTTTCTTTTTTCTTTCCTTTTATTATTCGAGAATTCAAAATTTGTAATCTCTTGTAGCATTTGCCCGGCCCGTTTATTCGGGTAAGGCCTGAGGCCCAGCTCTGTATTTGTAATTATTGATAATTATTGAATATTTATGAAAGGATTCCGAGCCTCTATATTTGCAAACGGTGTATTTACTCACATTTCACAACATCTAGGACATTTCACTTTTAAGCTTTTTACACTCATTCATTTAATGAACTTCAACTTAACAGTGTTAAGTTTAAATAAAATTTAAAATAAAACCTAGCAGCTATCCCATAACTCTCTCCCTCTTCCATGAATGTGCCTTTTTAGCAAGAACAAGAAGACGGCAACCCAATCCTAGATGGGTGGAGATGCCTCATAATTTGTTTTGAACATCAATGATTTCCAACTGCTGGTGGTATTGTCCCAGTGAATTTATTAAAACTGCAAGCTTGAAGAACCCTTTTCTTATTTATAGTTCATTTATGTATTTTCCAAATAAAACACTCAAATTTGTTTTGTATGAAGAGTACTTTTTTAACAAACGAGAGTGTGTGGTGGGGGGAGGGAGGAGGCTGGCTGTGAGGAAGGAAGATGTTGCCGTGAGTGTGGGTGGGGCAAAAGTCTTTTTTCTTTTTAATTTTTTTAAAATTATATTTAAACTTAACACCGTTAAGTTAAAGTAAATTAAATGGATGAGTGTAAAATTTTTAAAAAAGAAGTGTCAAATCTTAAGTCGTTAGATTATTGGAATGGCCTAAATGTTGCGAAATGCTGGTAAATGTACCGTATGTAAATGTAGAGGCTTAGGATCCTTTATGAAAATCATAGAGTATATTCATATGATTATATTCATGTTTTAATCAAGAAAGCTTATAGTTGAAGTGGTATTACAATTTTGTAAGGATTTAACAAATCTCAAGTTTAAATCCCTTTTTAAACAAATGGCAAAGTCAAAATAACCTAATCAAATGTAAATTTAGTGTACTCAAACAAGCTCAGTTCAAAAGTCGTCCATGAGCCTAAAGAGTTTTGGACCATAGGAAGGCATGAGTCTAGTATATTTGTGAGACGGGTCAGTCTTCGAATTCTGTGATTCGAGCTAAGGCATAATGTGTTCAAACAATGAGATTAGTAGATAGCCTACATTGATATTTTCTCTGTCTCCAACGAGGTGGCTTCGAATTTTGTTGCAGGCCAGCCGTTAACTTCTCTTTTTCCTTTCTTCCATATGCATAACTTGTCAAAAGTACCAAACAAACATGGGCTGTTCTTGACTCCCTTTCATAAATTCTCACGAAACAAAAAGGCAAACGAATAAATGAGGGCACAAGTAGGAGAGCCGCATTGTACAACGTAATCACAGACAAACAAACAAAGCTTTTTCTTGTCATTTCCTCCTTTATTAAACTCGTGCACCCACCACATCATTTAACTCCTCCAACGTTACTATTTTCAAAACCCTTTGGAGCCAAATGCATTTAAAATTCCCCTAACCCCTCCTTTCCCTTCTATCTGCCTATATGAACCACAATCCTCAGTGTTGGTCACACTAATGAGAAGCTAGGGGCTTTCTAATATGGGGTGCTTCCTTGCTTGCTTTGGTTTTTCTAAGAAAAAAAAGCGGCGAAAACCCGGTAACAAAGTTGCAGCTGCTGGAGACCATGTAAACTCTGGTTTTTGTTTCTGGATGTGTTTCATTGTGTTAATTAGTGTCAGAATATTAAACCCAATTTGGGATTTTTATGATTTTGTTTGCTGCAGGGACGTGGGAGCTATGTACCATTAGATTCATCTCTGACGATTATTGGTGTCGATGGTGCAAAAGAAAGTCTCCATAGTGCAGGTTCTGTACTCAGGTTAGTTCTTGCTTTTAGTCTCCTACTTTGTGATGATATGTGGAATATTAATTTCCCTTTCCTTGAGTGTTTGTTGTTTTAGAGACAAGCCTAAGGAGCAGACAAGGGTCAAAATCAGAAAGAAAGTTAGCTTCAATCTAAATGTCCAGACCTATGAGCCTATTTCGACTGGTTATCATTTCTTGGAGAGCGATGAGGAGGAGGAAGTGGAAAAGAATGGCCACGAAGTATCAAAAGGAAGCCTTTCCACTTCAGCATCTCAAAGGGATTCAACTACATTGCGGATGGGACTTTTTCCTTCAAATTACAGGTACCAAAATGTTCGAGACAGCTACGACGAAGACGACCATATAGCAGATGAGGAAAGTGATTTAGATGACGACGATAACGAAATTGATGATGATGATGACAGTGAAATTGATGATCAAAGAATAAGCCAAGAGGGGTTTTCAAGGCAATTCTGTTCTTCCTCTATAAAAAGAGAATTGGAATATCCAAATGCTAGAGGTAATATCCAGTATGTACACTCTGTACTGAGTCCAGTAGAGAATCTGACTCAGTGGAAAGCAGCCAAAGCAAAAGCAGCAGCACCAAAGCAGCAAAAGGAGAATATAGCAGCATTATCTCAAGAACCCCGGATGCCGCCTTCTAGCAGATCAAGTTATAACCAGTCCAAACCTCTATTGCAAGAAATCCCAGTTCATGCCAGTCTTTCAAGTTGGTTAAATTCACAGAGTACAAATTAGTCCGAGACCACATTGATCACCAATATTTGCACAGCTTCTGTAACTGGGACCATCTCATTCACGAAATTAACAGATTTGAAATTCAAGCTCAGTCAAATCTAAAGCGATATGAGAGAAAGAAGTAAACATAGCTAATTTGATACCAAAAAGTGAAGAGGGCAATAAACAGAAGTGTAGTTGAGGTGCTTTTTAGCTTTGTAGCACATTTTGGACAGAGTGATTTTTTGGGGGCATTGTTGTTTGTGTTGGTTTGTTTGTTTTTGGTTCTCTGGATTGTCTTGTAAATAAAGATGTTTGGTGGATTTGTACTTGTGTTGGGCAGTAACTATGTTAAAGGAAAATATGAAAGTCCAGAACAATGGTTTTGCAGAAAAGTACATGTTGGCTTTACATTATATTTCCTTATGTCAGATGTTGTGTGGGGCAAGTTGGTCGAATGAGTTTTAAAATTCCTTCTACCTAATAATGCAAGGATATAGTATCTGATATGACCAATAATGGGGCAAATGGAGGTACAGATTCCAAATAAAGATTCCATGTAGAAGCAGAATAATATCAAATTATACAAGGATTTTGAAAATTATATATAAAAAATTCCATCATTGCTTGTTTGCAAATAATTTTCAATATTTTATTGGGGTTTCCAGGAACAATGTATACAAACAAACAGCAAAAAATTGGTACCACCTGAGTTTGGCACATGCTATTTCTTGCAGGAACATTGCAAATCCACTAGGTTCAAATTATTGATTCCTTAGGCATTTAGTCTTACATAGAAGACATTGGCCAAAACAGTCAATGCAAATTAGACAGAAGTATGTCTGGAACACAGCCATATTCAAACTGCAAGATGAATAGACTTTCTTCTTTCTGTCAAGTGCTGAAGAGAAGAGAAGAAATAAACAGAATTGAAGTACCTTTTATTGAACGGGATGATTATCAAAGTATTCTGCCATTCTAAATACATACAACATACAAATATGCCTTGTAAAGCATACAAAATCTCAACTGCATTTAATATATTACATATGAAACCATATTGCTGTTATCCTTATCTGCTTTCACTCCTGGAAGATGATGGTCCACTCAGTTTGCATCTGGTTGTAAGAGAGCTCACAGCAAGTTAACCGAAAAAAAAATCGTACTAGACTTAGATGCAAGACATGGGAGACTGCCTTGCCTTGGTCTCAGGACCTTTGGTCCATCCTTGACATGGTAGGTTAAAACAGAGCCAGTTTGTATAAAAAGCATCAAAATCCGCTTGGAGAAATTGCCTAATTGATTTATCAAGCAAATGTACCCTGATAATTCGTGTACTGAATGATATCTACATAATAATACATATGCAAGAATCTGCATCTTCATCATCAGAATCACTAACATCACTGCAGATGAACAGGAGAAAGGGTGAGAGACTAGTAACTCCACAATAAATCTATAAACAATTATTCAATATTGATGTAGATAATATCAAAATAGTTGCTCTTTTGGTAATTCTGTTTTCCAATTTTAACTGGTATTACAAGTAGATAGGGAGATTGTTTATTTCAATCTACGGAAATGCAACCAAGCAGATTATCTTGAAAAGGATGTCTTGGTTTGAGCAATCAATAAAGATGTGGTAAACCAACAACTTTTGGAATAAATTGTATTTCCAATTCCTTGAGTGCGCCAAAAACGTGCAAACACAGTAACATGCTAAGGGACAACTGAGGAAGTTACTTCATATGTAAATCAAAGAGTGCCCTTATGTGTAAGCAGACACTTTTGTGCTAGATCAAGGGATATTTCAGGATAATGCTTCACCAGAATACAAGAGATATGAAGGTTCCAATGATCAAACAGACCAAAGACATGAAGGTTTAGTGTAAATCTGCATAACTTCGTTAAAGATAACTATTTTCTTTAACAAAAAGAAAAATTTGTTGGAAACTAAGTCTTGAAAACATGGAAATTAGACTGACCAAACCTAGATATTCAACTGACAAACCTAGACTAAACATATAATAAAAAAAAACAATCGTGCACTACATTAAAATGGAACCTGAATTGATTAACTCTCAGTCTTACCAACAATCCACTGCCTCAAAATCAAACAGTTTTTCTAGAGTAGGAACAGTAGATGCAACTCCCGTTTGTAACAAATAGCCAGTCAAGTAATTAGCTGAACTCCAATAAGCTAAAGGTCTCCCGTCAGATGCTAACATTACTTCTGTAAATGATGCAAAATATCTTTTTTTAGGAAATACGAAACCTATGATTGCAGGAAAATGCACTCAGAAAGACTACCACGGGATAAACAAAAAAGGTGGTTAAAGGCTTGCAAGTTGCAGCTATGTCAGAAGCCCATGGAAGTAAAAGGAAAGGCAAACCCAAAGAAGTAAAGTTGGCTGGTAATGGTCATTACAAGAGACTAAACAAGAAGAATGGCTTATGTAAAATGGATAATATTGGAGAGCAGAATTGAAAATTAAGTGTCACCACAGCTAAAAGGACAATTAAAAGATAAATGAAGATGGTGAATTCTGGAATTAAGCTCGGCTGAAATAACATCCCAAATCAAAGTAAAAAAAAAGAAAGAGAGCAGAACACCAACAAGAAATAGGAGACAAGGATTTGCCAAGAGTTTACAGGTGTCAGGTACCCTGTATCCACAATAAGGTAGAAATACATGAGGTAGGGGTTGCTCTTTATATTTTATCTTGCAGTGAATATGCTTTCACTTTTGCTTTATTGGGAGCCATGGTTATAAAGAGTTAACTGGTTAGCCCTTTGCTTTTCACTCTAACATTTCCCAAGAAGGCTTGATAAATTCCTTCAATCTCCTTAGACCAAACTTCTACCCTGATGAAAGGAAACACAACACTACTATTTAATGGGTACACTAAGTTACTAACCCCAAGCTGTCATCCTGATTCCTGACACTAGTCAGGTAATTCTGTTAATGGAGCAGGCAGAAGCAACAACACCTTCGTTGAAAAACTCAAATAGGTCAAGCTCAGCTCACAACAAAATCGCTGAATCCAATTCAAAAAAAATTCTCAATGCATAATGAAAAATGCAAACATAGTCATAAAGGCATTCAGGTCAAAAAGTGCCAATCAATTTGGATAAAATCTAAAACAGTTTGACATGACCAAAAAGGCAAGTGTTCTTCTTTATAGTCAGAAAACACATCAAAACATTTGCATAAGTTCACATATCGTACAAGCATCCATTATAAAGAAAACCACCACAGATAAACCACATCAAAGCACAAGCAAACATTCAAAGCAAAAAATCAAAGCTCAAACAAGTAAATTAAATCATAAAACTAACAACAACACAAACAACAAGCAAAACTAAACAAAGAAATCAAAATTCCTATAATTTGATCAAGACAATGCGCAAGTAAAGAAATAGAATTCAGCAAATACATTACCTTGGTTCGAATTCCAACACCTCAACAAGCTTATTCCCATTCTTATCATTCCACTGCACTTTCCGTCGGGTTTTATTCGTTTTCCTTGACATACCGCCTCTCCGAGGCGGCAACAAAGAATTAGACTCACTATCTTCATCTCCATTAACATTTTCCTCAACTCTTTGAGAGTCTGTGGTCTCCGACTTCTCAGTTTTACAGCCATTAGTAGCATCCTTAGCATCCGTATCCATTAACAAATTCGAAGCACGACCAAGAAAAACGCACACCCGATATCCAAATTCAACCAGAAACTATTTAAAAATCTGTAATTTATCAAAAACCCAATCGACCCAAATCCCTGATGTTGAAGAATTCGCAAACCCTAACCCTAAAGTTCAAATCTTGCGGGTTGTCACGGACGTGAATTGCCATTTTCCCCAAAGTCAACGCCCATTCTCGACACGAGCAGGGCTTGAATAGCAATGAGATAAACTAGAAAACACGATCCAATTTCGAAAGAGGGAAAAAGGAACCTGATAATTGCTAACTAGGGAGATAACTGGGAAAAGTTTCACATTTTCCCGAGAAAGTGACGGAAAATGTACAGTTTCTTAGATCCTATACGAAGTGAAAGGAACGGGACTACTATTCTGAACCCATTTTGGTGCAAAAAAAACAAATGAATACTAACAATGAGAGTTTCTGATTTTATTTTGTTGTATTTCTTTGAAATGAGAGGGACGGATCAGACCCATAATTTTATAGTAAAAGTAAACAACTCACAACAATATTCAGCGTTTACTTTTTATTTATTTTCTCGGTTTTTGTAAATCATTCCATAAGATATTGAATATTTAGAGGCTCACACGTGGCATAAAACGAGGCTATGTGTGTGTTAGTTAATATCGTTGTAACAGTGAGGAGTTGGCGGTATGTTCACTGTGAATATACACCAAAAAGTACAACTAACATATTTTATATTTTCCTTTTATTAAAGCACCTAGTACATTTTAGTAACAAAAAATAAATTATAATACATTTTTGTCAATTCTGATGCAACTTATAATGCTAGAGTCAGTCGCTTACTCGATAATCCAGCTATGTTTATACATGCATTGTTTTTTTTTTCCCTTCTTATGTTTAGAAGAAGAATTCAACAAAAGTCGAATTCTAATACAGTCGTCGTGTGAATATTAAATTTACAATTTGTGAATTGTCGTGTCATGTCATAAAATTGACGCTATGAGATTAATCCATTCGAAACTATATTTCTATTATCAACGGAAAATGAATAGTCGAAAACTCTTTCATCATTGAAAAGAGAAGTGATATCGTACTAACAGCTAAGCAGTTATTTTATTACATTTGAACTTAGTCAAAAACAAAAGTGGGGTAAAATTTTATAAGTGGTGACTCATGATTGCCATTAATATAACTATTTACATGTGGGTGGTCATTTTTAATTCCCATACATGTCATTTCAACACAAGTCATTTTTAAGTTGTAAGTCATATTAACGTAGCAATAATGATTTGTCCTACATGAGTTGCCACCATTTGCAGCTTTGACTTCTTTAGTTTTAGGGGAATTTTGATGGGGCCATCATCCCACATGTTCTTAGAAGAAGAGACATAATCCGGCATATATCATTCTCACAACAACACATCTCATGCAAAATATCTGAATTTTATTTGGCTATTAAAGTAATTATAATAAGAAAATAAAAGCAATTTTGTAATTTTGTAATTTGAAGCAATCTCTCTTCCAAAGAATGGTGGGGCCAAACACTCGACATCCCATCATATTGCAAACCTAACCAACCGATGGCATTGTTTGAAGTCTTCCTTACATGATTGTTGGATCTCCAATCAAGATAAATATACTCAATGCTCCGCTGTATCTAAATTTTTGTTTAATCCAACGACAATAAAACTGTCATTCATGATATTTGAACTCATAATCATCTCCGATGATGGGGATTAGATTGAGGATTTAACCAATTCAGATATATTAAAACGGAAGATATTACTTTAATGTCTTCTTTACTCTGTTTTTTTTTCTCAATAACTTGGATTGCATGCAAAGGCATAAAGAAAACAAAACCTACCAAGATGAGGATGCTGACAGAAAATCACTTTAGTATGTTTTTTTTTTTTTTTTTCTGACAAGTTAGCATTAGCAGCAGAGAAAGAGACAGTTTGCTTCCGAGGTTGCTAAACTTGAGTGCAAGGTTGAACTTAAATTTTACTCAATGTTCATAGCCTCCAAAAGTAGTTTGGGTGAGAAACTGTATATCACACTATACATCCCTCCACACACATAAGTTCCATTTGAGATGAGAACAAGAGATCAGAGGTAGATAACTTTCTGGAGGCGGGATGGCATGCTTAGAGAGGGCATCCCCGGCTTTGAAGAGAATCCTGCTCAAATTGTACCGGTAAGTATATTTTCAGTCTTCGTGCTTCGATTGCCTAATTCAAGTTATGCATCGTAACAAAACAATAATGTTAAGATCTTGCAGAGTTTATTAGCAGCTGTTTTGCTATGAGCATATTGCATTTTTGGTTGAAAATCTACATTACAACAATGTCTCATGTCTGCATGCATGAAAAGAGTTAAAACAGCCTAAGTCATTGATGAAACAGCTTATTTGCTGAACTAGCAGAAAACAGCAGCATCTCCATCCACTTCATAATTTAACAAGTTACAAGGTAGTGTTTTGCGAGCCATCGATAGTGAGGTATAGAAACAGCGACCTTCTATAAGTGTAGAAAGAGTGAAAATTAAATTGACATAAAAAAATATAGGAAGGAAAATTTCACATCATAAAATTTCTTTTGTAAAAAGTACAGCCGAAGTGACAGATTTAACGACACTTAACAATATACATAGTAGGAATTTGGTGACAGGAAGATGTGGTATCCAGGTAGATAAGCATTATGTGTCTAGCAATAAGTTGTGGGGAGGATAGACCTGTATGGTTCTACCACTAAAATCAGCAACTGCAAAAAACTTCACCACATGGAAAAGAAAAGTCATATTCAGCATCATTGTCCAAACTCAAAAACAGTCCTTGTGGGATGTTTTTGTGGTGTTTAACTAATAATGGAAGCAACATGATAAAGTACTAAAAACTTTTCCCAGCGGCTGGGAAAAAAACAATAACAGAATAGCATAGAGGAGATTACCATATCATCAAAACAAGGAAATAACAAGAACTAATATGGTCCCCATCACATAAACAGAACTGTTATAATGATACATGAGCAAATGAATGAAATTTGGATCTTGGATCTTGGATTCTTCCAAAGTTCAAAAACTTGTTAATGGATTGGAAGCAGACTATGGAAGGATAACTTTGCTAAAAAAATATACTAAATTTAAATCATAAATCATATACATCAGAACTTTTGGAATCAATGTCGTGCGTGTATGAGATGCTTCTGGTTTTCAGTGTGAATCACTTATCAAAAAATTCATTAGGCTTAGTATAATAATAAAAAATGTTGTACTCAGATACTAATGGTCAATATGGCAGGGCTTTTAGACACTGAAATTAGAGTAAATACAATTTCTAAAGCTTATACAATCTACTGTTTTCTTCAATATATTTAGTAACCAAATCTGTGAAACAATGAAGCTGTCAATGGTTTTCTAAGTAATACTCATTCTGACGATTACTATTGTTGCTTTCATAACAGTGAAAACAAGTCCATAGAGATTGATCATCACTTGTATGAATTTGGGTCTGTGGAATACCATATCCAGGTAAGCCTTGGTCTTCAGAAATCAAATTTGAAATATTCTAGTCAATCTGTTCAGAGTTCATTATCTGCCTTTTTACCTAAAATCAGTCAAAGCCTTCAGCGGAAAAGAATCAAGAAAATGGTTTTATCATGCATCCTCAAGATTCAAAATCAACTCACATAAAAGACTAAAATGGAAAAACATGATTAGCATTTTAGGATTTAGGAATTTCACTAGTTCTTTTAAAGAAATCAATTTTAGATGTTTGGATAAAATAATGTGTGAGAATTAGTGTGAGTGGTCAACACCTAATCATATGGGTTTTCCAGCAAGCATTCTGATAACTTTTATGATGATTTTCTTGTAATGAAACAGTCTTCAACATCAGATACACATTATACCTACTTGTCAGTATCCACCCCGCTCCTTTCCCAAGGAGTCATACTACCAAACGGGATTTCGCAATATACGAAACAGATGGTAAAGGGAATTTGTCCGGATGTTGTGGAGATCATGGAACCTGCAAAAGAAGGATACCAGATTACTTTGAGACTTGATTTGTCTAAAATTCCAAATGGAAAAGGTTTGACAATCTTTCACATTACCTCAATAACATATAGAAAAATTTAATCATATTATTTGTCTTAAACGTCGATATTTCTTAATGCATGACCATCTGCTTTGATAAGTCAGTACACATGGAGCTTCTTGCTGTTACATTGACCATCTCATTTTGAGTAAATCAATGGTCAGTTTGATAGCCAAAAGAATGAAACTTTGTAACTACTTACGCTAAGCAATGTTTTCTTGGATTCCAAGCTCCTTTTTCCTCCGCTCCCTCAACCAGAAATTATAAGAAGATGACATAAGTTGTCCATAGTGTTACACACCACTACATTGGTGAAAGTCCGAAAACAAGTCTGAATAGTAAATTTGGAGACAGCTGTGTCCTGTGCGCTAGTACTTAATTAGGTCCTGAAGTACTGAATAACCTAGTTTTCTGACTGTACTGTTGAGGCAGACTTCTTGTCCACAGCTTTGTAGTTTTTGTGTTGGTCACAAAATTATGCTTCTTTAGAAAAATTGACAGTATGAAAAATGCTTAAGCTAACATGGTAAAAATTTACAGCGAAATTCTGCTAAGATTTTCTTAAATCATATTCATAATTCTATTCATGAAATTCTTTTTTCTTTCTCCAGATTCTATAAAGGTAATTGCAGACATTTCTGCTGTGCAAGCAGTAATCTTAAGTTCTCAGCTGAAAGAAATGTTGATGAATGTCAGCTCCCAAGATACATTTCAAGGAATGTATAAGACAATCAAGCTTGTATATCACCCAAGAGAGCCTTTCTTTATTGTTAGACAGGTAAACTTCCTTCCTAAGGGGAACATCAGACTACCATATAATGCAGAACAATACTTGTCACTTTAGAGATAAACACATAAGACCACCATATAATGCATGGATTTTAATGAAGGTATTCATGTTTTAACAGCCACAGAAAATCTTAGCAGTATTCCCAATACGTTTTAAAGACAAAACAGACGTCATTATTGCAACAGCCTTCTTTCAGGTTTGTGGCTGATACAGTGAAGTAAATATTTTCTCATTAATACTAGCAATGAACTCACACTCTTCTTTCTATTCCTAACAAAAATTGGTTAAATTCTTCTTTTCCTCGATTTTCCATTTTGATCCCCTTCTGGGGAATGGAGACAGGAACTTATGGATGTTGGAAGTTCTGAAAAATGGGCCAAAGCACCTCCTTGTTGCTGGTCACCCATTCCACCTCCAGAGTTAAGAGGAGAACCTTTTGAAGATTTGAGTACCAACGGAGGATTTGTCTCTTTTGGTATCTTCTTAGACTACAGTCTTTAAGTGCAAAAGTCATGAATTGAGTGGTTACAAACCAAATTCTATTCACCATTAGTCCAAATAAATGGAACAAAAAGTACTCCAAATATAAACTTTCCTCTTAAGCGCCATGGATTATCTAACGATAAGTTAGAGAAAGATGGAACACTTTTTTATAAATCCTATAATAATGTTTCTTAGTTAAATAATAGCATCAGCTATTGTTTTATCTTTTTTAAAATACAGTTGGTTTTCCACATACCAGATAAAGATTTGGTATACTCAGTCTAATACAAGTGGTATTAACTTATATGCAGATATTTCTTCACGTCATGTCAAAGGTAAAAGACTAGACAAGACTGTATGGAGTTTGTTGAATTTCTATGCCTATGTTAAATACCATGTAAAGGTAATAAAAATTTTATTATAAAGTTTTTAGTTTTTCCTTGTGAAAATTCATCCTTGTTATTCTAGACATTTTTAAGCATTGCAATGGTTACACTTTTAGCTAACAAGTTTGTTCAATCAGAGCACCAGAAGTTTTATTCAGAGAAGGATGAGAAAGCGTTTGCAGAGATTAGTTGAGGTACTAAACTGAAACCCTTACATACCCAAGAAACTCAAGACCAACGTTTACCAATATACAATCTCTTTTCCTTCTCTCATATCAAAAGGAATTTTGGATTGAACACCCCAAAGACTGATATTCCTTACATGCTTGTAGGTCCTGCAAAAGAGAAGCATGCAAGAAGAAGAAAAAGAAGAAGAAGAGGAGGGAAACCATAAGGTTCAAGGTACGGTTTCAGTCTGTATACTTTCACAAACTCATAATAAGTGAATAAAAGGATAGCTGTAAAGTAAAGGAAACTTCCCTCAGAAGGAGGCAGCAGCTGGTGCCTTCAGTTTCTGATGGACACAAAGTTGGAAATGAGCTTAGCTAAACTCATTACCACTTAATTCTAATTAGACAAAGAAAAAAATTCTTACCACTGATTCCGTGCCATCTATGAAATAAAGTATTTAAGAAAATTATCAAAACAGAATCTTTGCAATGATATAATGACGGGTTATTCCATTATTATTCTTAGTAACTTCTTAAGAGAGATATGGTAGACCAACAACAATTCATATTTTCTTAAAATCTGGTTATAACTCTCTCATTGTTTGCTTTCAAGCAAATGCAGGATGCATGTTCATGAGAAAAATGATCAATGTATCAAAACCTAAAGTCCTAAAACGAAGATATAATGACTTGAGCGGGAAGATCAAGAGAATCCGTTCGCGAATTAAAATCCAGGGATTTGGGCGTTTTCGTCGACGATGGTTGAAAATGCCAAAGTTTTCTTCTTCATTGGGATATACCAAATTAGATTAAGTTCTTTCCATATCAGGACATAAGTTAGCATAAAGAAGCATTGTCCAATACTGCTTCTTATTCAGAAACATACCATGACATTGTTCCATCACATTTACGGAATTAGTAAATAGCAACTGAGTGCTGTTTTAAAGCTTTATATTTATCAAACTAGAGTGACGTAACTGCTTAATTTGTATGTCAAATGAAAATAACCTCGCAACCATTTGGTGCTTATAAAGTTGTGGCAACATCAATGAAAGAACAAAGTAAAGGGCACTAAGACAGCAGATATGTATAACCTCAAAACTTGAAAAATTAATATAGACATAGATTTGGAAATTAAATTTTAGCTAAATAGAGGATGGCAAGATAAGTTTGGGGGAGCTAGTTTAGTTGCTGACGATCCGAACATTCAAACACAAAGATCTGAACATAAATAGCATCAAATAGTATTTTACCTTTTTTTTTCCTGGATTATATTAAAAGGTCTAGGATTGACTTACCAGGAAAATTTTCAGCTGCCACAGTGAATCATAATCATAGGACACTTTAAAATTTTCAGTTGTTACTAGTATCTCCAACTTCTCAGGAACCCTTTCAAATTTCAACTCTCATTCTCCTTCCTTCAAATGGATGTGGTTCATCGTACGCTTGATTTTTGAAGAGTGACAACTTTGAATGCAGATGGTAAATTATTGATAAACATCTGAAAGTAAATGATTTCTGTACCAAAGTATGTATGTAACCACGAATTTGCATCAGATGCAATGGCCCAGATTGTAAAAGTTCACGTTAGGCTACCAGTGCACCGGATGCATTGCCATTACATATTTTGAACTCACAAAAGTCTTAATAACCTGCCTTATAAAGAGCACCAAAATTGAAGGTAGATATGCAGTATCGACAAAGACAGATTACAGGTGCTGAGGTTTTTATGTTCTTTATTTTTTGAAATGTAAGCACTGGTATTACTGAATCATATATATTGAAAAGTCTGCTCTTTTAGATCATAAACTCTTTATAAGGATCACAAACACATTGAAAGAAAAAGAAAAACAAGAGGCCAAAGAGTGTGAAAAAGGTCATGTATGTATTGACCAACAATTTGCAGCCATTCGCATTTAAGTCATGAATGTTGCAGTGATTTTATAAGCATGAACTCTAATACTTCCGCAACATTCAGAACACAACGAAAGTTATCCATTTACTACAACTATAATACAAAGTAAGCATCTAATACTTAATTTAAATTCATGATCTGAGACAATCCAATATCAAATAACTGCATGCCATTAAATAAAAAAAAATTTAAAAAAAGTAAACACTAGCGACCTGAAGAATGAACAAATGAGTAAAATCTCCATTATCTCTGAAAGTTTCTACCAAAATTGACAGTAAACAAAAACAGAACATACATTTCATTCCATATCGAGGTCGAGGCTAGAAGGCATCAACACATGCCCCGAATCAAGCTGCGCTAGCAACGGGCCACTGGCCTCACCACACCTCAAATTCCAGTTACTTGCCACCAAAGCAAACAACATCAAACTCAATAGCAAGACTGCAATTGCATGCCCAATGAACAGCAGCGTCATCAAAGAAACACCCCTCAAACCATCCTCCTCAAGATCACATTTCCACTCAGCATTCTCCTGGTTTGGCCAAACTGACATTTTCTTGCACCCTTTTAATCCAAATGCATCAGTGTACAAGGACAATCCAAGTTGCAAAATCCAAGTGCCCTTTAAGACCAATCCAGAGGACAAGAAAAACTCGGCGCAAAACGAACAGGGCCTAATTGATAAATACAAGGAACAAACAGCACAAACAAGGGTCAATGCACCTAATATATCATACATAGCTCCACCAAGACCCGAAATTCCCTTGCCGATCACCGAATACTCGACCAGGAACGAAATGGCTGCGATAACGAAGACGAACCCTTCATCGATATGCAAAGTGTCAATGTTTTCACGGCAGATGATCAAAATGACGAGTGCCCAGAACATGAAAATGGCTGCTGACTGCTGGAAAAACGCGAAACGATACGTGGGGTGGCCCGAAAAGGCTAAAAAGATAAAAATTTCGGAGAAGGAAGCAATGGGGAGGGCTATGGTGAGAGTGTACAAATCAAAGTTTTTCCATTTGGGTTCTGAGAAATACCAGATTTTAGATCGGTAGAGAGATGGGTTCTTGAGGTAGAGAGAGGAGGAGCAGAGTAGGCGACGTAGGCCTACGGGAAAGAGCAACACGAACGCTGAGAAATGGGTTGCTAGTGATGCCATTTGAATTGTGATGCAGCTGTGAAATTTGTTGCGTTTCTCTCTGCTTTCTATATGTGTTTCTGATTTTCCTGCGTTTTTTGGTTTTCGCTCCCTCGGTGACGTTGTTAGGAGAGCTGTGAAATTTTCAGAAACGGTTTTTTGTTTTTGTTTTTTTGGTTTTGGTTTTGGTTTTGGGCTCAAATTTTCAGAAAGAGAAGGTTAAAAGTTAAAACCATTGGCCAAATGACACTTTTCACCTTTTTTCATCTTTTCTATTAAGGTAGTTTTGTTGTTGTTACATTGAACGCGATCCTAACTTTAACTTATCTTAATTATTACATTTCAAAGATTTTTTTTGTTGAGAAGACATTTCAAAGACTTATGTTTTCCCCAACAACAAAAAAGACTTATGTTTTCACTTTTCTTCTACCATTTAGGCATCATGATGTATGTTGTTTACTCATATTATAATATATGAATTAATAATATCATGTAATAATGTGATATTCATATCTAAGTACTTAATACGTATTTTCCCTAACCTACTACCGTGAGCATGTTCATATCATCATCTTGCCAACATGAGCCTTCACATTTTTTATTCCCCTTTACTCAACCTAGGAATACCGGGGCACGTGCCTAATTTTAACGCTGCAAACACAAGATTTGATTATTTGGACGAATGTTGTAAACACTTAGTAACTACGAGGATAAAATCAAAAAAATTGAAACTACAAGAACGAAACTAGATAAACTATGTGGACCAAAAATGTATTGTTCACCTTTAAAAAAACATTGATACTCATTGGAGGTATCATTTTATAGTGACGGCCTTAAATTGGTTGGCCGTTGGATTATATTAGTTAACATAATCTAACGGTTAAGAGATAGAGCATCACTTGACGGTTAAGAGGTAGACACCTCTTAGTTGGGCTTTTGGGCTCAGATGAAGCCATGAGTAAGATAGAGCCCATGTGAGGCCCACTTACTCCTTTTTTCTTTTTCTTTTTTGTGTCAATACACGCGCTCATCTTCAAGCCGAACCGAAGCCAGTGTGCGGTTTCATTCCAGCTCACCCTCTTTCTTATGAAGAAGAAGCCACTTAAAATTTGCTTAAACCCTGAATTTTGTTGTCTTTCATTCAAATAATTGTAAAACCCCACCGGCCACCCTTTTCTTCTTTGTCACTCTGCAAAGTTCGGGGGTTGGAGCTGGGTCAATAGAAACTACAAATAACAATGCTTTCTTCAATTACCTCCCAACGGCTGAGACCCTTTCTTCTTCTTCATCTCCGTCACGCTCAAATCCTCCTATATTCCTCTTTTCCTCACTCTGTTTCCACCAAACCCATTTCGATTCACAACCCTACTAACCCAGAACCGCAATCAAGTTCAACAATTTATGACCACACCACGGTGCGTGAAACGCTTTCTTCTTACTGCAATGACTGGAAGAAAGCCTTGGACTTCTTTAACTGGCTGGAAACTGAATGTCACTTCCTACACACCACTGTAACCTACAATCGCATGCTTGACATTCTTGGTAAGTTCTTTGAGTTTGAGCTCTGTTGGAACTTAATTCAAAAAATGAAGCAGAACCCAGTTTCTGTTCCTGATCATACTACATTTCGTATACTGTTTAAGAGGTATGTATCTGCACACCTTGTAAAGGAAGCTATAGATACTTATAATAGATTGGAAGAATTTGGTTTGAAGGATGAGACCTCCTATTATAATCTTATTGATGCTCTTTGTGAGTATAAGCATGTGATTGAAGCCCAAGAATTGTGTTTTTGGAAGAACAAAGATTTGGGTTTTGATAAGAGTACTAAGCTCTATAATTTACTTTTTCGCGGGTGGTTGAAAATGGGGTGGTGGGGTAAGTGTAGGGACTTTTGGGAAGAGATGGATAGGAGAGGTGTTCGTAAAGATTTGCATTCGTATTCAATATATATGGATATATTATGCAAGAGTGGAAAGCCGTGGAAGGCTGTGAAGTTGTACAAGGAGATGAAGAACAAAGAGATCAAACTGGATGTGGTGGCATATAATACGGTTATTCGTGCCATTGGTCTTTCTGATGGTGTTGATTTTTCAATAAGGTTGCTAAGGGAGATGAAGGAATTGGGTTGTCAACCAAATGTCGGGACGTATAATACAATTATAAAGCTTTTGTGCGAGAATGGGAGATGTAAGGAGGCATTTTCGTTGCTTAATCAAATGCCTAGGATGGGATTACTACCAGATGTGATAACGTATCATTGCATTTTTAAGCATCTAGAGAAGCCAAATGAGATTCTTAGACTGTTTGATAGGATGACTGAAAGTGGGGTTCAACCAAAGATGGACACTTTTGTGATGCTTATGAGGAAGTTTGGAAGATGGGGATTCCTCAGACCAATGTTTCTTGTGTGGAATAGGATGGAAAAACTTGGGTGTAGTCCTGATGAGTCTGCTTACAATGCTTTAATCGATGCTCTGGTGGAAAAAGGTATGTTAGACATGGCTAGGCAGTATGATGAAGAGATGCTAGCAAAGGGGCTTTCAGCTAAGCCAAGGGAGGAGTTGGGGACGAAACTAGTGAGCAGTGAATCTGATGATGGGTAATTGCAATATGATTTTGATGCTTCGAAAGTACCTACACATGCATCTGGAATACACAGGCATTTCCACCTGAATTTTTCTGTTGAAAAGAAAATGGGAGCTAAGGAATACCATCTGAATAATGCAAACAGTGCTGAAGGATATGGTATTTATGGCTCCCAGATACATATTATTATGAAGGTGTGCAGCTGAGAACATTGGTTACACTGAGGAAAGAGTTTGGGGTGGTAACCGCAGATCATTCGACGACCTTTTGTGCTGAGCTTGTCATAGCACAGACACCTATTTCCTGCTCAAGATAAAACTAAACGTTAAAGACCTTTTTGATCTAGGACATGGATGTGTGGGTAAATTTGCCTGCAAAGCTGACATTTGGAGCCCAGAAGCATGGCTTCCATTGGTTCAGAAGTAGGCAAAATGTAGGGAGAGGATATTCTTGTCAGTCCCCTTGTTCTTGCCGATGCGTTGGAATTGTTTCCAAATTTGGATTCTAAGGACATAGTTGTTCATCCATTTTGTCTTCCACTCTAACAGTCATGGAAACCCTATGATGATATTAAGCAAGTTGCCAGTGGTGACAGTATGCAAGTTGCTGTATTGGTGTCTAGCTGCACACTGATATGGGTAACTTTATCGTCTCTTTTGGGACATCTTATAACAATTTTTCTTCTTGTTTCCTTTTTTAGTTGCTGGGGAGGGGTGTTCTCGGTTTGTAACAATTCCTTATTGGGCAAACTTCTCAATCGATTCCTAATGAGCAATTAAATTTAGAGTGAGAAGCATTTTTGCTTGTGTCAGGAAAATTGAATATGAAATTGGATGCACTGTATTGGGCACTTAAAATAGTTATCGGAGTCTCTGTAATGTTTTCTTAGAGCCTTTTCTCCCTTCCATAATTATTTTATGCAATTGCTAGCTTAAATATTACTCATTTTAATATATGTTAGTACAGTTGGTTTTGTACATTAACAGCCTGGGTGAGTAAGTCTTCTTTTATTTTCTCTCCTTTCATTGCATGTATCCAATGGACCTGCGACCACTGCTCTGGATTAAAACTGTTTATTATATTGGTTGTCCAGAGTCCAGACTATGCTTCTGTTGCCCAAAAAGTGTTATTTTACTTAGGATCATATAGAAAAGCCAGTACCCAAGTTAGAAGAAAGAGTTGGACTCCTGGAAGAAGGATCTTGCATGGATGCCACAATCCTTTCCTTCATGGTTCTTTGCAGCTTGAAGTGCAGGAAAGCAAAGACTTTTGTACTTGAGATGTAATTTTGGGGACTTGTGTGGTTGAAATGCTTCATCTTTGGCATACAGGTATGTGTAAGGAAACTTGTATACAAACTAATGCCTTGATGTTACGTGCATTCTTTCTTTTCCCCTTCATTGTTGGTTTATATTTCTGTTTATAGAATGGGAGATTTGCTTTCTTCTCTCTTTGTTCTTAAACTTTGCTTTACTGATATTATTTGCGTTCTTGGGTGATTCAGTCGGTGCAATTGTAAATGAACAGTTTGAATACTGATCTGTTTGAATCCTATGTGAAAAATACTTGAAACTGAAGTTCACTAGGGTTTTTCACTTGTTTGACAGAGTAAACAGCCAACCAAGTCTTAAGCAGATCTATATATAGTGCAATTCCAATCTAGAAACAATGTTTAGTTTTCACCCAAGGAAGCACTCTAGTGATCACATCCTGGGAAGTACCATTAATTATACCCTTCCATGGTTTACCAAGTTCCTGGATGTAGCAGTACCAGAAATTCAGTGTTCTCTTGTCGGTATTGTTCTTTATTTGAAAATCTTTGGACCTCCCTGATTTTTATATTCTCAGGTTTGATTTTCTTGATTCTCTTTCCTGTAAGATCGATTTCCTTTTTTCCCTGTCTTTTTCTTCCCTTCCAGGCTTTCAGGATACAATTGCAGTTCCTTGCTTATATTGTATTGTTTAAGTCTACTTGGCTTGTCTGTGGTCTTAAAAGAAATAATAAACACACATGTCATTACCAATCTCAGAGAAATAGATTTTGGAACATCAGTTTAGTAGTTTCTAAATTTAATTTTTTTAACATTTTAAAACGAAAAATTCCTGTGGAAATGTTTGTTCAGCATTTTATTTTTGGGGGCAAAGTTAGGAAAGGGTAGGAGAGTTTTCTCAGAGACACCATCAAAGTGTCATGGACATTTGAACCTAAGACCATTGATCTGCAAGTCAAGTCCTTTTTCCACTAGGCTAGATGGATCTCATTGAGATATTTGTTCAACATTTTAATCGTGCTGTTTTGTCTAGGGTTTCAAAATTCCAATTTTCTTGGAAAGCTTGCACTTTTTTCCTACAATGACACTTGCGATGTGCATCAAACACCGTCCTCAGGAAGCAAATTTAAAACCATTCTCTGAGTCTACTTATGACTTCAAACATTCAACGTTGAAAATTCATGTTGTTCACATGCAGCTGCCTGGTAGGAACGAAGCTACCAGGACTTGTAAAAGATGCAAATCTCGCCATTTCAACGGTCCCAATGAAGTCCTTTGTTTGTTATGCACCATACAATTTCTTTCATAGTTTGCTTTGTAAAATGTCCCTATATGAAAATTTCAATAGAGGGTTCTTGAATGAACGGCTAGGATCATCCTTAGCTGACTCATGGGCTTCTAGGAAGGAGACAAGTGGACCAAACCCAAGAATGTGACACGGTAGCTAGAAATTCAGATTCAGATCCTCCTAACAAACGGAGACCGTCAGTGCCAACAAGACTCTGGAAATAATACAACATATGTTGTGGAAAACTAAAAACTAAAATCCAAGGCCATCAGTTTATGTGGCTCCTAATAGCTTTTGAACTCTCTCTCACACTGCTATCCGATAAAAAAACCAAAGGCTCTCAAAATTACACCAAAAATATCCCCTCCCTTTTCCACAATAAAAGGCCATTAACAACAATTCTCACAACTTCTAACAAGCAAAACATTAAAGCCCACAAATTTTCTCACAGATTAGAGCACAGTTTCTGGTTCTTTCTTTTTCAATGGCAACTTCAATTTCTGCAACTGGGTTTAAAGGAAACTTGTGTTCCTCATTCCATGGAACTTGGGGAACTTCAATGGTGGGGGAAGATTATGCCATGCTGGTGAAATCAGTGCCAAGCCATGTGAGAGTTGGGAAGCCAATCAGAGCACAACCCATGATGAAGAACGTCAATGAAGGCAAAGGTATCTTTGCACCTGCTGTTGTTGTTGCACGTAACATCATTGGCAAGAAGAGGTTCAACCAAATTAGGGGCAAAGCTATTGCTTTGCACTCGCAGGTAATTAATATGGTCTTAATTCCCTTTCTCACTAGCTTTGAGTTAGTCTACACTAAGCTTAGCAGTAAATTAATTCTCTCTTTGGAAACTTGGCTAAACTAAACATGTTTGGGAGGTGCCGAAAGTGCTTCTAGATAATTAAAAGTGGTTTTCACAATGTTTTGCCAAAGATTAGATGAAATAGATTTTTGCAGTTACAGAAGTAGAGCCTGGTAGGTGAGAAGTAGAGTCTAGTAGGTGCTTCTTCATAAAACACTTCCAGATAAACTAATTGAAACACTGAAGTTTTTAACAAAAAAAGATTGTGTGGTTCTAAACAAAAGCGCTATACATAAACACTCCCAAACATGGAATGAAATGAAATGGTATTTAGAATTGCTTGGCATATAATTAAAGCTGCAAAATGTTATTGTGTAATCATAGTAAGAGTTCGACTCTCATCCTCTGTCAAACCACAAAAAAAGAAAATTTCATAATAAATAATTATAATAAAGATTTGGTATTTATATAATTTGTTAACAAGTTTGACACATGTATTTCTCTGCAGGTAATTACTGAGTTCTGCAAATCCATAGGAGCTGACGCGAAACAAAGGCAAGGACTGATTCGGCTGGCGAAGAAGAATGGAGAAAGGCTAGGGTTCCTGGCATGAGAAAGAAATCAGTAGAGCATGCATGCCTCCATTTTGTTGTCACCACTAGAAATTTAATGTTATAGTTAATTTCATACTTCATTCTCAAGGACTTCCAGATGCATATACTCGTCCAGCTGGGATTTCCTGAACATCTTTCAGAATGTAAAATTTGTTGTCTGCTCCTCCATATTCATCTCCATCTCCCTCTTCCTCTCCATATATTATATATGCAGTTGCCATGATCATTCTCCAGTTTAGTTGCAATTAAAACTGAGGAATTCACTTAAAAATGATTATATGGAGAAGCGTGTGGCCACAATAAAGTCATCATGTGCTACTCCCCTATACAAACATAAATTTGTAAGGAAAAAATTGCACGTTTCCGTCATAAAAACATAGAGGAGTGCAAGCATGAATTCAGACCCCGAGTGCATGCAAATCTTTAATGGAAGAGGCTTAAATAGACAAATATGGAGTTAGCCAAGTTGACTAGAGTAAATGTGCTCCCCACTCGCATCTGAGTTCGAATCCCCCTCCTTGTAGTTTTGATTAGATTAAAGTAGAATATCATTTGTATCAAAGAAGAGGCTTAAATAGAAAATCTAGAAAACATGTAGATTTGAACCATTCGATTATCAATTCAAGTAAATCACAAGTGCATTACAAACTAAACTTACTTTCAAGTGTACTTTCGAAATATTCAATATTACAAACAAAACTTAGTTTATCAGTACTTGATAAAATTTTCAAAAACCGTAACATAAAGAACAAGATCATAGTACACTAGAGAAAAATAAGTTGACAAATGTTTCCTCTAGCTTTTCTCAACATAAAATTTGTGACGGTGTTCACAACTTTGGTTATGGAGAGCGAAGACCCATGCAACAAAACAATTGAGGAATAATCAAACATTGTATCGAGGCTTTGCCGATCTTTCCCTTTTAGAATCATCCTGCAATAAGAGAAGAAGTGAGAAATAGAATATCAAAATCAAATAACACTTTCAACCAAACATTGAAAATTAAAATCAAATAGCACCGAGTAAAATTTACATGGAAGCTGTAGGTGATCTTATCAGTGACATCGATTATCTCCTTCCACTTCCTCCCAATGCCCATCTACATGACAAGATAACAAATTCAGCCACTTGTCCAAATTTCAAATTTGCAACAAAATATGGGACTACAACAAAATATGGTTACACTCTAAACAAAAAAGTGGAATATCAGTTGTGAGACTGTACAAGTAATCAGAGTAGTATAATAAGAGAACTGGTATAAGCCGAGAACTGGCACATAAAGGAAGAGGTGTGCCATAAATGCCAAACCCAACACAGTCGAGGAACATGCCATTAGGAAATACAGAAGCAGCTGCACTCAGGCAACTATAGAAAGTGGTACAAGAATCCTCCAGAAGACCTTCAAGCAAAAAGCTTGAGAAGGAAGCCAAAAGATACTTAAAGAATTGATAACCTTTGCCCAAGGGCTCCCTTCCCTTGAACAACTAAACCAAATCACATGGATCTATCATTAAAAAAAAAAAAAAACTCAATTAATAAGGGATCCACCAATTCCTAGTGAGACAGAGGTCAAGCAAGCACATAACATCACATTTATCTTGCTGTCAATACTACGTCTCAGCTGATTTATACAGCGTAATTGGTTAGTGCTTTATGTGTAGAGATCTTTCATTAGATAGGTTGGGTTTATCCTTCTGTCATTTTTTATAGCTCTCTTTCATGTAGGATTTATGCTCTGTTGAACGTATATGCCTGACTCCTAGGGGTAAGGTTCTATACATCAGCCTGGCCAGGTGTCATTTATCATTCTTTTATTTTTTCATTAAGTCTACAGCTTATGGTCTCAACTTCAACCTCCCTCTCATTGCTGGAGATCCATTTCTTTTACAAACGGGTCTTGGAGAGCCTTTGTCAAAGATAATAATAAGACATTGATGAAGATTTTAGCAGATTTGATTTCTCTTAATGGGTGAGACTTCACTGAAATTACTTAATTGTTCTTCTTCTACCTTTTTCTACTTATCTTTTTCTGTTTAAAAAATCAAAGCCACTATAAGTGTTTTGATCGTCTAATTTTCTCTTTATTCTTTTTTCTTTAGGGAACAAATGTGCATTTCCATTTAAACAATACGCATGAAACACCTCATATCAATATAACAAAGATTGTGGTGAAGATTCGAATATGTTGGGGCTTTAACCCTAGTGCTGTTTAACAGCAGAGCAGATGAAGAATCATCAAAAGAGTAAAATAGATCAACCAAACCCACTAACTTAAAGTGTAATTTGAATCACACACACCTGGGCAGCCTCGTTTGCAGCATTCCTAGTCCATAATGCAAGTTTGTCCTGCCTCTGGCGCACACTTGCTACCACCCCGCAAATCTCATCAGCCTCATCAAATTGCTCTCCAATCAGTGCCATCAACTATCCAATGAAATAAGAGCCCATATTATCAGAATTCAAATAAACCCTAATGTAACATGAATCAACCTAGTGCTTAGTCCAATACACACAAAGTCATCTTCTGCCCACAGTGACCAAGATACATCAACCGTTCTCACTGATGAGCAGATGATGAGAGTAATACTCAATGTCCATATAGTTTGGCATGCTACGTTGCACTGTCAATCAAGACAGTTAAGTAGGTGAAATCAAATCTCAATGTATGCATTCATTCAATGTCTGGCAACATAGCATGCCAGACTCTCATTCCTCTACATATGTGTGCATTAATGTAATGAAAAATGATGAGGAAAGCAACAACTCACGGTCTCTAGCCACATGGTATCAAGGCTGCCCTTACTCCTGCTGGTGACAGTCCACTTCCCTCCATTAGCACACTCAGGATCCTCCCATTTTGGTTCAACCCCAGCCCTGAACAAGTGGAAATCTGCACTTGGTGGAAACTTGCTCGGCTTGAATACCTGATCATACAGACTGCAAATACATTTTGCATCTCAAATTCAAATTGAGGGATTGGAATCAGATTAAAGTCCCGAACTTGAATCATACAACCAAGGTTTGTGGGTCCAAAATTACAAATTTAGAACAATCTGCTAGCATTTTTGTTTTGCCAAAATTAACGGGAGAAAGGGAAAAGAGAGGAGAGAGAGAAGGAGATAAGTTAAGTGAGAGGTGAGAGATGAATAAAGAGTATAGAATGGTTTTAAAACCTAAAACATAAAGCTTTAAATAGTTTTATATCTTTAATTTTAATCCAATACATTCCTAATCATTCCTTCCTCACCTCTATCATATGTGTTCTCTCTTCCCTTTCCTCTCACTCTCTCCCCTCAAACTTTAATTTAAATTAATAGAATGAAACTATAACAGGATGGGAAAAAAAAACTAAAAACAAAAAGAGGCTAGAAAATCAAAAGACTAACTGGGTATCCTATTTGACCGGATCAACTAGAATTGTAAGCTAGACATTAAAGCAGGAAAAGATTAACCACAGGGAACAAGGTTAAGAACGTTGGAGCTAGCTCTTTTTGCATCAAAGGGAACAAAAGCCTTGATGCATAAATTAAAAAATTCAACCATTTATTTTCCGCTAGATATTCTGGCAAGTTTTCTAATTTTTGGAAACAAATTGACCTATATTCCAGTACATTACTTCGCTTTACAGAAAGTTTCACCAAAATTTCCCCAACCAAACAGAAGATAAGGGCATATCAGTTACCAATCAACAAACATGAAGGATCAGCACAAACTCACATCACCAAAAAAAAGTAAACAATCTGAAAACACAAAGCAAAAAACAATACAGGGAAGCATAAGAAAACCAAAAAAAAAAAGGGGCGGAGATGGATTAAGTTTAGATTATGTTATGCATACCACCAGAATTCTTGAACGGTTTCGAAGGTGTAGGCCTTGCGAAGAGAGGAACCCCAAGCAGCACCTTGCTTGGGCTTGGATTGGTTATCGAACCAGAAGGTCCACTTCCTCTCCAGCTTGTGGGGCCCACTGCTCGGCTGTATCTTTGCCTCGGCCGCCGCCGCCTCTAACCCACTATTTTCCTCGGCGTCTAATTGTGGTGGCGGCGCTGCTGCTGCTACCTCTGTCGCCATTGTTGTCTTGTGGAAACCTTTTTGATTCGTCTGTATGTCTCTCGGGGTTGTGTTGTTTGGAAGAAGAAGAAGAGGAGGAAAAGAGAGGCTTGCTTTTTTTGCAGTCGGGCGTTTATATTGTGGAGAATCCGCGGGCCTGTGTTTTTGCCCTGACTTGATACGGTGGGTCGGCCCGAATGCAGAATTCTATAGTGAGGTGAGGGTCCGAGGCCTATTTTTAATCAATGGATAAAATTAATTAGTTGTTAAATTTAATTATTTAAAAATAAAACCTCATTTAAGGGTCTTAGATAAGACCTTGTCTATAAAATGACTCCGGCCCAAATGAACCTAACTAAATGGGCCGAACACCAATCTCACAAACTTGAAAGATCTCTACACGTTTTTATTTTTCCTAATTAGTCACTTTAGTACCACTTCAAAAATCGAAAAGATATATTAATGTGTCACTAATATCGAAGTAAAAGAAAAAACTTTATAAAAATTCTTTTTATATTGGGTTAATGATACTACCATTTAGTTATGAGTGCTGCTAAACGAACCCTAAAATTAACTGAGTACACCTTATGATCTAAGTACACCATAATGTTTAAATTAAAATGTAAAATTAACTAAGTGTTGAGGCCCAAAAAATCCATGATTGGACCTGAATAAATTCCTAGCCCAAGACGACATATTATTGGAAAAAGACCCGATTTGGAATACACAAAAGTCTGTCATGCACAAGCCACATGCCATGCCAGGTAAAATATGTCATGCTAGAAACTGAGATCAAAATTATAAAAATGCATTTAGCCCTGCAAATCCATGCCAATTATCCTATCGAGCGCCATAATTAAAAGCGTGCCAAGCGACGTGCCATGCCAAGCGGGAAATTATTATTTCACACCCAATCGCGCTACAAGCTTAATTGGGCCCAAGCCACTCGAATGCCTGGGACTTGCTTGAGTGGGTTGTGGTATGGATGGTAATAAATCAACATGAGGCCCATTCATGGGCCGAGAAATGGAAGCCCCGAGTCGCTTGGGAGTCTCGGGACTCAAGCCCATTTCTTAGGCCTAAACATGTGGGTGAGCACAAGAGGAAGAAATAGCCCAGTCAAAATAGCCTATGGACGTTACCAAAAGCCCAAACGTTTAATAAAAATAGCCCAATCAAAAAATAGCCTATTGACTCAACAAAAAAACCCACTTACTTAATGAACCATCTTGGCCCATACAATTACCCCAGCTAGCTGGGAGAACAAAATCCACGAAGGGGGAGGTCTGAAGACTTATTGAACAAAGCTGCTGGAGGTTCCAGCACATGGGGGGAGCAAGTTCCAAGCAAGAAACATTCAAGGAACCAAGGGGTATTAGCCTGCGATCTGCCAGAAGCACCCTTTGAACCAGCATGTATATCCACTTCCTTTCTCTCATCAGATCTAGTCATGGAAGGAGGAATGAAAGAAGAAGAAAAATAGCTGAAAGTGGGAGTCTCCCACTGAAGCTGCTGCGGGAAAGGGGGGCCTTGAGCTCCCAAAATTCCTAATTTTGTGCAAATAGATAGAGGCAATTTCACTAAGATAGGAAAGTCAAGGGAGGAGAGAAGAAAGGGAGAGGAAAGCTTAGCTAGATGAGGAAGAAACCATTAGGGTTTCTTGGAGAAGAACAAATCCCAGCAGCTATAAATAGGGCCTCTTCTATCCAACAAATCAACACAACCCACACTCATAGAGCAAGCTTTCTCTCTTACCTGCAAAAATCTAGCAATCGCGTGCACTATTCACCCTTCTTCTCCATCTTCATTTTCTGGCTGACAAAGTATCTGTCAAGCTGCCGGAAAAGCATTGTTTTTTATTTCTCTCTTCTTAGCCAAATCTCCTACAAACCTCTCCTTACTCACCTTAACACTTTCCTTTTCCCCCTAAGAAAGCCTAAATTTCCCCTCAGTGCTAAACTCATGTTGATTTTGCTGCCATGCCACATGCCTCTCATGCCAAGCCCAAAAGTTTATCTGTAAGCATGAAGAAATTATCTGTAAGTTGCTGTTGTTTTGGTTGGTGAAGGTAACCAAAATACTTCCTAAGGCTCTGCTGCCCTTTCGAAGCATTTTGGGGCTTAATTTTTGAACTCAGACAAAGGGGACAATTTCATCAGTCTACCATTTACGGCAGCCCAGCCCATTTACAGCCGCCGGAGGAAAAGTCCCCTACACTAAGTACACCTTATTTAACTACCAAAAATACCCACGGTACACCCTCTTTAATTTTTAATCTTTTAAAGTATTTAAAATAAAAAATTATAGTAAAATAATAATAAAATAATATTTTAACAAAAAAAACTCTCTCTCTCTCTCTCATGCTTCTTCTTCTTCTTTTCTCTCTCTCATGTGCAACCACCACCACCTGGAATTGCAGTTCTCCACCAAGACCACCATGTGTTTTTTGAAAACATCTGAATTGGGATTGGGATTATAGATTGTTGCATTTGAGAATTGGGTTTTAATGAGTTGCTGTCGGAGTTAAAGTAGAAATGGTGACTGAGGTTGATAAGAGGGGTGGCGTAGAGAATAGGATCGCAGGGGAGTTGAGATATGTTGTCCCCAAATTCCCTGTCTCCTCCTGTCCTTTATCTAAAATTTTGACACGTCTCTCCACCTTTAACAATACACAAACACTATTAACTCGTATGGAAAATAATGTAAAATATCAATAGGCATTTTGAACGCTTCTTCTCCCTCAATCATGGTAGTCTGAGACTCTCCTAGCCTCCAACTTTGTAGCGGAGAACTCTTTGGGTGTGGGTTTCCAATATTTCAGCATGAATTGGTTTGTGTTATTGATTGTTTAAGTTTTATGCATAAAAAAAATCAACTTGGATCAATAAACTTCTCCTGGATTCCGTGTTGTTTGTCAAAAATTAAGTCAATTTGTTTGAAGGCATGGATTCAAAACAATAAATACCAATATTATTTTATCTTTTTGGTCATTTTATATTAGGATAAATTAATAATTCAATAAATTTTTTAGTAGTAAGATGTACTCAGTTAATTTTAGGGTTCGTTTAGCAGCACTCTTTAGTTATATAATGTAAATATTTGTTAGTTGCTCACACAACTTTGTAAATATTTGTTTGCTTACACAACTCTCTTATTGACTGTATTGTGGAGGACATTACCGCATTGCTTAAAAGATTTGGAGCACACCAGTTCATGCTGCTTTTAGATATGCAGATGGGGCTGCTCATAGGGTATCACAATTATGCTCTACATAGAGGTGGCCCTGCGTTTATTGGAAGACTTTTTTTTTGTTTTTTGGCTACTGTGGAGGTTATCTTCAAAATAAAAAATATAAAAAATGGGGCAGCCAGCTACAAGATAAGGTCTTCTTTTTCCTTTTTCTTCAATTATACAACTTGCATTGGATGCTGTGGTAGTGTTGTGTGTGCTGTCAAAAAAGTTAGAAGAAATATATAATTAAGGGAAGGTGGTCAGAAAGATCGAAAACGCCAAAGTTTACTAATTTTTGTTGGGTGGAATTGGACTTCATACATAGACAGAAAGAAATTGCTCTACTGATAAAGAGATATTCTCATCAATCAATCTAAAAACTAGATCTGGTTTACTTGTTTTCGTTTTGGCCAAGAGAGAGTAAAGTAGTAGAGAGAATGGCTGAGGCAGTTGTTTCCTTTTGATGAGCACAAAATTAATACAAGTTTTATCCTTAAATTTATATTTGTTAGTATTTTCTTTTGTTTTATATAAATCTAT